TTGAAACCCTGACTACAAATTATCTTTAACTGTGCATTTGTCATCTCTCTGAATTATTTTTCGGCATTGAAAAACAAGTACTCTGAAAAATTTTTAAAATAAGAAAAAGTATTTAATGCTCAGAATTTCAAAAAGACAAATAAATATTATTCAAATTGCAATGTAAACTGTAAACTGTCTTTCCTAGAAATTTTAATTCATATTTCTTGATTAGTATAAATTTTAGAACGTTATATATGCATTTTGAAATATGACCAGTTAAAAAATGGCGGCTGTGTTAACATCGACGGCGCACTGGACTGTGATTAAATGTTTTGAACTTGAAGTCACTCCTACAGAAACACAGAAGTCATAAATGTCAGCTGGTACACATGGAAATGTCTTCCGGACCTTATTATATCCAAATTTTCTAAGTTTTTTTTTTAAAAAAGAGAAAATAAATAAGAGATCGCATGAGGATAGGGGCACGGAATTGTGAAAAAAGTGACATTTTGCAACTCTATTTGAGAAGACAGAGAAATCAAAAACCTTTCTAGAGACATGAGTTTTTTTTTTAAATCATTACTATTGGATAAATATGCATGTGCATACTTTGTTAAAGTTTGTTTGTATTTGCTAATGTTAATTCTTATGATAGCTATTAAGATATTTTTATTTTATTTTTTTATAATGTTTATGATAAATTAAAGAATTTGATTCTTGTAATTAGTGAAACCACTTCAATCAAAATTTAAGTGCATCTTTTTGACGTTGAAGATTGCTTCGGATGTTAGGGAACGGTATTTCTGAACCTGAAATTACTCGAACTGTTTTTAATCAATCATGTTCGAACTTCTTAATTTTAATTACCAACCAATAACACACTACATTCACCCATAAAATTTTAGAGAGATACGGTACTTTTTGTTAAAGATATGCGATCAGTCTACAGAATTTAGGGACAATTGTCGTATAACAGTTTTTCCAGTCCGAAACCTTGCACTACTGGCTTTCAAAACCCCTGTTTTCAGACGGTAATGATTACGGTCAATGTACTAGAGATAACGATAACTAATCACTATTATTTCAAGAAAAAGTCCTGTCCTGTTGTAAGTGGCTGCAGAATTATCATTATCACTTTGAATCATCGAATGATTAACAAGGTCAGTCCGTTTTAACACATTGAATGTATATATTTGGACTTTCTTCGAACTTATTAAAAAGAGGAATTAGTTGGAATTGAACCCGCATGCTTTTCAATCAGATAAAATGAACATGTTTGTAAAGAAGTATTTTTTTTTTTACCTAGGAGCATAACAATTCCCAATAAATATTGTTAAAATGATGCCATTAATGAAAATAACAGTGGCTAATTAACTAAGGGACGTGAAAACAAATTATTCTTCCTGAAGCTAAAATTTGAATTCTAAGTCATATTCAGATATTTAATTTTTATGTATTTATGTAATTTCGCACATTCAATAATTCATTGTTAATGTAACGAATTCAGAAACAATTATTAAACAATTATTAGCAGCACTGGAAAGTAATTATTCTTTTCTCCTTTTCTCGTAATTTAAAGATGGCTCAGAAATCATTTGAATGCAATTTTCCATTATATTTTGTTGCATTTCTGACGATTCCTTATCTGCGTTTTGATTAACGTAATATTTTGTAAAAAATCAATCAAGTTTCGATTGTGAAATCAATCATTGATTTTTTATGAATATTTCAAACTGTTAAGAGTTTGTATTATTAATGACTGGAGGAATGAATAAAGCTATTAAGTTTATAAGCCACCCCCCTCTCGTCTTTGTATTTTACACCAACACGGTATTATCACGCGATCATGTACTTTTAAATAGTTACTACTGACCCCACGTCACACCACCTCCACCCCCAACCCCCTAAAACGATGTTTCGAATTACATGTAATAATACATCCATGAAGTGATGAGAACACTATTTCCTTGCACAAAAATACGATAAAGATAGGGCCTGATTACTTGTACACAGTTTTAGACATTAATTCTATATCATCTCTTTGTTAAATATCTTGATGAAAGTCTACATTATTTGGACCTTACCAGAACAAAATTTTCCGATTTCCGGTCATAAAATTAATTAGCATGCTCTTATGGTTTTTATGGGGATACAGAATTTGTTTAAAATGAAATGATTTTATAATTCAATTATAATTTCATTTACTCTATCATCTAATTTCAATTTTCAGACCCACTTGTGATTAAGAATCATTGATCCGCGCAGCGCTTTTCTTTTATCAACTTCATTGTAAGCACTGAAGCAGAACCAGGGTAGGTTCTTGTATATATATCTAATGAAATTTGCAATGGTCAGCTTAACAATAGGTCCTAATTGCCTATTGTTCTATGCCTGCGTCTGACCACTGGTGTTAGGACTAAATAACTGACTGACCACTCAGAACAAGACTGTTTTCACATTCCCTATGAACTATCAGTTTAATTTATAGTATAGATCTGCTAGAAAAACTTAAATTAAAAAAAATATCAAAAAAAAAAAAAAAAAAAAAAAAAAAAAAAAAAAAAATCATCATACCTATGTTAAATATTTGTCTTTGAGATAACTGATATGAACAATAGAATTATGAAGAAATGTATTTATGCTACCAAAGCGGGAAAATGCCATTAATCTGTTAATTCTTAGGAAACGAATGCATAAGAAAAACGACATGACACTGAGCGAGGACGGAATTCTTACAAAGTTATCTGACTCTTCCATGTTGTGTTATGCATGGACAGGTTGTGATACGTATATATTGTTCGGTTTGAAATTCAGATGAAGAGATGCGCAAATGAAATCCAAATTTTCTGTGACCTAGAAAGAGTTGTAAGGTTATATTTGAGCAGCTTCCCTTAACATTTACGGACCTAAAGATATGAGTTTAACTAGGGAATATAACCATTGGGATATAGCAAAAATTAATAACACAACAGGTAAGTGTTTTGTGTTAAAACTGTTATTGTTAGAAAAAGCTGGTATTGACACGAAAAATATTTGAAAACGTTTGTTCGCTATACTTTAGGCAACTTAGTTAGGCCTAACCTATATATTGGACAGTCATTCGTTCTCAAATTAAATCTCGTCATTGAAAGATGAATATTAAATGATAAGAAATAAATCTTATAATTTTTTTATTTCATCGATGTATCATAGACAGCTTGGACGTAAAACGTCATCAATCCAATGCGCGTACGTAGATCTGAACATTCAGCCATTTTGAATTTCAGCAACGTTATTGTGACGTATTCTTACGCACTGTCTTTGATGCTTAAATTATGAATATTAAAATGAAAGAAAGTTTCATTTTATTATTTTTAAATCATAATTTATAATTAAATGATAAGAAATGAAAGTAATACTTTTTCCTTTGACCGACGTATCAAACAAAAATTTGGACGGAAAACTTTTTCATCAATGCGCTACTCGCATTGATGACGTTTTCCGTCCAAATTTTTGTTTGATACGTCGGTCAAAGAAAAAAAAATATTACCTTCATTTCTTAATGAAAAGTAAATAGCAGCAACAAAGCTCTTTATTCAAGTTCCTAGTTTCTACATACCTGACAATTAAAAATACCCCCATCCCCCCCCCCCCCCCGCAAATGAAATTAATACCAAATTTTCACATAACCTTTTTTTTTACTTGCCACGACATGCCAAAATAATTTTTAGGTCTAAATTTATTGAAATTGTTGAACATGTTCAATATATTTTTAACACAGCTATAGGCCTATATTGTGTTTTATAATATGAACATCACAATCACTGATACAAAATAACAAATTCATTTTTCCATTAATTTAAAATATGTCATGCTATAGTAAGACATAATCCATTCACATTCATCAAAATGTAGAAGTCAAGTCACAACAAAGTATGATAATTACTGTTACACTGTACACTATTACGTAAGACTGTTACAGCTAATCAGATCCATTTGCATCGTCACCGACACCACCCCGATCACAGAGAATCCATACCATATTCTGTTTTTTAGCATGAACAAGTGGCTTGCTAAGTCTGCTTACATGGAAAAGCTGTCGTCTAACTGAATTGTCTTCCTACTAGGGATTTCGAGAAAAAAAAAATCACTGACAATTAATACGTACGTTATAATGCGAATTATAATTGTGCGAATGCATGGCTTGGTCAATCGAGTGATTTCCTTTGACTTTATTGATAAAATTGCGAACTCCCGTGGCCTCAATGGGCATAACCAGTGTCCACTGAGTAATAAAAAAAGTAATGAAGTCCCGCACAATTATGACAATTGTACCTTTTAGAATTCACTATGAGGAACACACACTACAGCTTGTACCCACTATAATATATTCATCCAAGTGTGAAGAAAACTGCGTCCTCGTGCAATTCATCTGTCAAGGTCAGCCTCTTGCAATTTTTTCTCCTCCATCTTTTGAAGAGTTTTTCCGGATCTCGATCCCGTAACATTATGATGATTCAGAAACATTTGTGATGTAGTCATACTATATTTAAAAAAAAAAAAATAATAAATTTTTTATGAAAACGTTTTACTTACTTAGTCCTCTTGGTGTTGGCCAACACATTTATTTCTGGTGAATTTTTCATGTACCTTTCTAAACGTATATATTTCATAGGGGGAACTCAAGAAGAACTTCTTGTCTGCCAAATATTGCTGTTCAAAGTAAACATGTATTAATAATAAATATTTGACTTTCGATTTAATTTTCCATTGCGTAAATTAAAAAAAAAGAGGACAGAAATTTCCATGCACAAAATAGATGTCGCACTTCTTGTCAACCAAGCCGAAATAAATAGCTTCGATATATTTGTATTTCATCTCTCGTATCATGCAGGTGAAACTATGAGTTCCTTCTTACAATTTCTATTAATTGGAAATCTAGTCAGATGCTTGTAACTGTTGATATAGTCCATATCAAATATTTTAAGTATGTGTATTTGAAAACACATGCTTTGCAAAATCATATTTAATTTGTTTGCGTGTATTCTGTTCATCACACACTGGCACAGACACAAATTATCACTCATTACTGTGTGGAGCGAGGTATGACTCCTTTTTATACGGCAAAAGAGCTGGGAACGAGGAAACGATACAAATACAAATACATGTGTCGAACACTGGTTTATACCTAGCAAAAGAGGTTCAAAGATGGATGGACTGGTTATCCGATGGAAGAAGCGTTTGGTAGACCAAAAAAAAAAAAAAAAAAATGCCGACAAACTGAAAAGTCTATACATGTAGCTGGACGTCATACGTGGAGACCGTCGTTAACTATGCGAGAAGTTGACTTTATAATCGGGGTTGGAAAATTGTCTATTAAAAGAATTAATTCCTTAATTTATTCTTAACTGTAGTTCGCGTGAAATGGATAACTTGGTAACTAAAAAAAAATCAAATGCATTATCGAATTTCTGCTACGAACGAATTTTTAAAGACGCACCATTTCTGAACAAATTCAAAAACTCCACGAGCTACGTTTTGACGTCGTCGGTGTTGCGCCGGGAGCTACTTTGAATGAATGATTTATCAGAGAGAGAAATGTTATTTATAGAGATATTTTATTGAAATTTCTGTGAATTATGTAAAAAAATGTTGATTATAGTGCATGCCAAGTTTTAACTTTATAACATTAGTGAAACGAAAAATATTGAAAAAATTCGCGTTTTTCTGGGACAACCCTCGTACATGTAAATTGTATGTTTTGTGATATTTTGAAATTGATTATTTAAATTTTGATACAAGTCACATTTTCAAGTTAAAATGTAATCTCTATTATTTATTCACTTTGGCATAAACAATATCACAATCATCTTCATTAGCAGATTTTGCTTGCGTAACAGATTTGCGGACTTCTTTTATTTGGGTCTTTTCTTTGTTCTTATTGGGTTGAGCATAAGTCTGATTTTCCACGTCTTCAGGCTGATATGAGTGATAAAGAGGATTGTCTGGGAGTTCCTTAAAAATGTCTACATTTTTCTGTTCAGAGTTGATTTCATCTTTCAGATATGTTGTGCTCAGGACTGATTGTTTCCGTCTAGAGGAAGATAAATCGTTTAAATGTGTAGAATATCTCAAGTAAAATATGTTAAAAGTTAATTATTTTAACAAATGTACAGAGTTATAAATTAATAATTTGCCAACGTGAAATATATTTGGGTAAGAAGTCAACAATTTAAATTAAATGTGAAAGAAAAATAATGAAATAGAACCTGAAATGACAAACAGCTAATGAAAAAATGCCTGCTAATAAAATCACAGCAGTTCCAGCAACACCAAATATAATATCTGAAATGAAATAAATGGAGATAACAAATTATATTCAAGCTCAAAAGTCCATTCAAACAATACAAATTAGGAGCAGAGTGAACATCCCCTGTCGACAGGTCACACCCGCCGTGTGCTTCTTCTTATGATAGGGAAATGATGGAAATATCCGTCGACAATTCAGTGTGTACATAATGGCCTAACAATTTGTATGAAAAACGTCAGTCAGCATTCGATTTAAGGTAAGATTTTATTTGCTGATAAGGTCATTGTATCGACCATAGAACTTACGAAATGATGACTTTAAACGAGACTGTTGATATTCTTGTTTCATCAACTTGTTTGTCAATAACTTACCTCGGTTTTGAAATTGTTCATACGTCGAGCATGCTCTTGCGTATCGAATCAACTTAGAGATATAAACCCTATATGCAAGTGGTAAGGGTATATTGCTGCATAAGTAAGGGAAGATGACGATCATCACGTTTAATATAAAGCTTTGTTGTAAGGTCATCTTTAAGGTCTTTTTCTAGTAAAATATCCATACGAAACAGAGGTGTCAGACTCTGTGATATCTCTAATTTGAAGCTCATTTGGATATATCGTGTCGACATATGAATGGAAACAACTATCGTTAATTGAAACTACGTTGAAAAACAATAATTATTTATCTTTGAAAAGTAATTCCTCACGAATTTCCATAAATTGCAGTTTTCATGTTCTTAATAATATCTTGATAACTTCTTTTTTCTTCACAATTTTAGAGGAAAATATTTAGGAAAACAAATTTTATCAATATGTTAAAAAACATGTACAATATACTTACATTTTACTGTGTAGTTTGTCTTATCTTTGCTTTGGAGGTCCCCTCCTTCTGTTTTTAAGGAGACATCGGTGTTGGTAGTTATTCTGTTTTTTGTACCATCAGTATTTGTGGTCCATTTTGTTGTTGTCATTGAAGTTGAGAAATTATCTCCACAAGTGACAGAAATTGTGCCATTGAAACTTTTTTCTGAAAGTATTTTTTCATAATTTTTCCCGTGGAACTTCAACAAGACAAAACATACTTTGTTTTTATAAAGTTTGATCAATTTCCTAAGAAAATACAGTAAAGAAAATATATGCTTTAATACAGATATTCTCTAAATTCGCATTTTTTTTACTAGCCCCATTTTGTTTATTAGGATGACTTATTTCATTGCTGTTTGCTGTGTAAGTTTATTTATACTTTTTTCTTTTAGCCTCTTTGTGATCAAAATATGCAGTGCTAGTATGTATCATATGTCTGGAATGTCTGGAATTTGAATACAAGAAAGGAATTGCAGTACTAAAATTCTACACATGCTATTCTGAGGCCATTGGTATATAATTAAGAATAGGATTTGTATTATAAGCAAAAAAGTAATATTATACTCATACGCAATTTAAAGGCAGAATTTCTCACAAGAAATGAACCCAGAACTATCTACTGTGATATAGATCATCTTTAGTAATATATATTTAATGGTCGTTTTTACCGCCGAAATATGGCTGGATAATTGCCGAATCGGTGTTAAACAATATGCAATTAATCGAACAATTCTCCTTTTTCTATTTTTATAATGATGAATAATGAATGACTTCTAAAATCAATTTCAAATACATACCACAGAGATATTTATAAATATACTTTCACCTACATTTTCTTTCAAAGCAAATGCAAACATCATTTTGTATTTTTGTATGTTTATCAACTTTTACATACTCTCAAATATTGTAACCTCTTGTTCAAAAGTTCCAGCTGACGAATTGACGTATTTAGATGTCATAAAAAGGACACTTTCATTGGTTACATTGAATCCGCCAGAAGTCCTTGGACCACACGCAAGTCTTAACACTTCATCCGGCTTGTCATTTTCAAAAATGTTTATCTCCGTGTTACAGGAAAACGAAATCACATTAGAAGCAAATTTTAAAACCCCAACAAAATGAGGTTTTATCTGACACTCACAGTGAGATTTTATTTTACTATATTTTACTATAATCACGGAGCCATACTTTGTACTACCATCACACGTTGTTATATCGACGTTTTTAGTAGCTGTAAATGAAAGAAATATATAAAGTATATATTCATCAATTACAAATGTAACCAATATACATAACAAATGATAAAAATACGCCCTAAAGTAAATTTTCTAAATTCATACGCACTCGTATAACCCGAATGTAGCATTAACAAAAGAAATGTAATGTGATAGAATAAAAACTCGTCATTTAATATTAGAAGTAAAGGGGAAGTTTGAAACAGATGTTTTATCACGACATCATGTGTAAATGAGATTCAAGTTTTTTTTAAGGCTCATCAAGGTGAAAATATTAAGCAAAACTCCTGCATGAGAAAGACGACTTTAATGAAAATTTTAAAACTTTGAGCTCTTAGATTAACTTTTAAAATACACATGTTATATAAATAAACTAACAAATAATCTATGTGTAAATGAATCAAGGTGCGTTTATACTGACATGTTCCTAAATAGTCTACAATGAAATATTTAAGCAGAATTGTTTTAAATGATCTTACGTAACTAAACTTTAAAAAAAAGATCAAATAATGACTCTTACAATATCCGGCCCTTGAAGAAAAAAATACTTGAAAGGTACACTTATAATGAGAGAGAATTAGTAACTAATGTATCTGAAATTCCATATGAATGACTTACCAGTAAGTAGTTCTCCATTGTCAGATAAAAGTAAAATAAATAAAATATAAATCCCAGAAGTAGACATTAAGTCCAAGCTGTAGGAAAATAAGAATCGAAGAATAAATACACAATTTTTTGAAACCTTAAGCGAAAAGTCAGGGTCAAATTAAAATCAAAAGTCAAACTAGTGGATGTATCGTTTGGTATCTCCTAGATAGAGAGGACATTATATTCCGAGTGTTGTCAGTACTTCCGGTTTTCATGTCACTGTAATAAAACACTTAAAGCCCACACTAATCTGTGGTCCAGAGACGGAGATATGTATTTGTAAACGGAAATTTGCGTCATTTAATAAAAACTTTATTGACTTACTCGCATCTCTACTTTCCTAGTCAAAGGTACTTGAATGACGTATATTCCTATAGAAAAGTAATCGCTTAGTTTAAATTATATTTTATTTATATATTTATTTATATTAGGGATGGTAATTTGTAGCCGGTTCACCGGTTACTCGGTCGAACCGATGGCAATCGGTTAGAAAATCTGTAATCGGTGAGTCAAAAAAAAAAAAAAAAAAAAAAATAAATAAATAATGTACATTTCCTTAAAAATTGATTTACAATGTTAAAAACCCTTCTGAATACGGATAAGTTACGACGTTTTCATATTTAATTCGGCTGATTTGGAGGTAATTAAGACTCTCAGGATTGAAATCGATCGGGTAATTGGTCATTTTCCGATGTGTTAATTGTTGTATAAACACCATGTCAGTACCCAGCCGGTCCTAAATTTCTTTAATGATATTAATTATATCTTTGTTGGGTCTGTTAAATGATAAAAATGATTGCAATGTGTATCTTACCCTGTCTATCCTTCGCAGGTATCTGTCAAATTATATTTTTAAACAAACATTGTAAATCAAGGGACAGTTCAGACTCATATTTTGTTTATGGTGACAATGCACAATGACCTTGTATTGTAACATTATCACTTTCTTTAATATCTAAGAGATATGTTTCATGGTTTTTTTTTTTTTTGTTTTTTTTTTAAAATTTTATTTATTTATTTACTTTTCTTTGCTTTTCGAAATTGAAAAAAAAAAAAATATATAGCGCTCTAATCAAGCATTAACAGAATATTACTAACGTCTTTTTCAGCTTTCTTGTGTATATAACTAGAGTTTACTTGAAAAAATAAAATATCAGAAAAATGTGTATTTTGTTACGATTAACCGATTAATCGGTCGGAACGTCTTGCGGTTAACCGATTAGCAATTTTGTATTCGATTGCCATCCCTAATTTATATATTTATTATATTATATTTTCCTATAGAAAAGTAATCGCTTAGTTTAAAACATATTTTATTTGAAAATCACAAGCATAAATAGCAGACATTAAGTAAAGATCAAATAGGATTCGGAAACAAGGTTTAAAAAAAAAAATCTTCAGGTCTTTTTGTCATCTCCCTCGGGAGATGACACATTAAGTTTGAATCACCGGAAGTGAAGTCCTAGTGTAAGCTGCCATTGATAAGCTGGTGGTCTGGCAAAGGAACTGACGATGACACAATTTCTAAATATAGAGATGTAAACAAAATTGACCAAGGTCTGTCTTATTATTATTAAACAAAATGGTCCATCTTAAAGTAAAACTAAACCAGTGTTCATTAAGAGTAATAGAGGTAGGATCACTTGGGTGGTGGTGGGTCTTCATTAACGGTTTATACACATAAACATTGTATCTAGGCTATTGCGTAAAACGATGGTCAGCGCGCAGGGATCAAAATACACAAAACATGGCATATTGAATGCATAAGCCAAGGCGTGGATCCAAGATTTATTGACGAAAGAAAACAGTGAAAACATTTAAATAACAACTCACATTAAATGCATATATACAATGGCAAAAACTTTACTTTTATGTGCACTTTAGTCAATCGATAATTAATGCCGTATATATATGAAAAATAAAACAGAACTTATTCCAAAAATAAATGAATAAATAAATTTCGATGAAAAGAAATTTTACCTAAAACCACAATTTAGGCAGAAACATAAATGTCTCTTGTTTAAGTAACTCAGTGCTGTAGGCATTGGAATAAAGATCATAAAGAATCAATATATGAGTATTTCCTCGGATGTGTGCACTTTATTCTTTTTTATTTAAAGGTGCTTAGACACAGATTTGAAGTTAATATTTACTCAAATTTTCTGTATAATTTCATGACTTGTATGTTGCTATAGCATTTCATACAAAAATTTGATAAAAATCTTATTTTATCTGGAAGTTATTGAAACTTTGAATTTCTGGACGCGTTTGATAGACACATCCTTGCACTTTCACAAATTTTAACTTTATCCTTAGTACTTTAGAAAAGTAGCAATTTTGTTGTTTATTAATGAAAAATATTAAAACTATAATGCAGAAATTCCAGAGTAGAAATGTAGACATCAAAATCCTCTCACCAGTATTGTCAGTCCGTGCTCAGTGGTGTGTGCAGAGTTTAACAATTGAACACACCCGGTGAAACGTAAACATTAACAACAACAGAGCTCGTGCCCTGTTTACAAAAACAGTTTACGTTTCACGGGTGTATTCAATTTGTTAAACTCTGTACACAACTACACAACATTGAGCACGGGCTGACAATGCTCAAGTGAGTGGGTTTTGCTTTCGCACATTTTTACTCTGAATTTTCTGGATTATAGATGTAATATTATTCATTAATACACAATAGAATTGCTACTTTTCTTAAGTATTAAGGATAGAGTTAAAAATTGTGAAAGTGCAAGGATGTGTTAATCAAACGCCTCCCGAAATTCGTAGTTTCAATAATTTCCAGGTTAAATAAGTTTTTAATTTTATTTTCGTGTGAAATGCTATAGCAACATGTAAGTTGTGAAATTATACAGTAAATTTGAGAAAATATAAACTTCAAATCTGTGTCAAAGCACCTTTAAATTTACCCCTGTAGAAAAGTATAAGAAAAGATAGTTTTCTTTACCTGGCCCAGATTTTAAGAATTAATAAACAAAGCAACTGTTATAATTTTCTTTATGTAATTCTAATTTGCGTTTTTTGTCAATGAGAAAAGGTAAAAAAAAATCATTTCTCGTATTCTTGAAATAAAGCCAAAATTTTAAATTTTAAATGTGTGTCTCATGGAACAGCCTATAAAATCGATGTTTGTAGATTTGGGGTCTTTTCGGTGTGTTAATACTTAATTTTAAATGGTAACGTTTTAATTTTATTACCTTTCTATGCATGATTTTTTCCCAGGAGCGTATACATGTACATGTACTTATATCATACATAATATAGCGTTAGAACATGAATCTGCATGGGCAACAGAAAGGCATGATGCAGGAGTGTCTCAATTTTTCCCTTGATATTCAAAGTGGCTCGATAATCAATCAAATCCCAGTGGCTCGATGGCCAAGTCACTTCAGATGATACGATTAAGGAAAATAAGGAAAGTCTTGGAAATTAATTCAGGTTCAGATTAATTTAAGTTGGCGCTTTAAAACTTCTTTGCTGCCGTAGTAGGCGGCTACATGTAAGAACTAAAGTCAAAAGGAACGCTAAGTTTTTATCCATCTTCTTTCGGAATAATTGTTAAAGCTATATATGGCGTATCTGAGCTAAAAAATAAAAATACGAGATTGGGTGTAGCTAAACATGATATATGTTATTTACGTTGAAATTAAATTTTTCACCGATTTTGAACTTGAATAACCTCATGTTTCCATAGTTCGACTGATTAAAAAAAACTGTGTCTGTTAATTAAAAAATCTGAATCGGTAAATAAATCGGTTGTTGTTTTAAATTTCTGGTATCTTTGAAACGTGATTGATTTAAATTGTGTAATTTACAGGAAAATCCTATTTTTATATAAAGTAATAAAACAAATAGAAAGATCTTTTTAATTTTGGTAGTCTGAACTTATTAAAAAAAACGCAATATATGACTTTAAATAATTCTTACGAATATTTCTTAGTGGTTAGAATTTTTTACAGACATTATACAAAATATATTTAAACTGAATAAAGCATATTTACAACAGGTAAAATAATACAGGCACATAGCACCAAACATTGAAAAGGCGCACCCTTGACCCCTCTTCCACCTTTTGTTGCAGTATGGTACGTCAAATCATCCCATGAGATTGTATTATAATTTAAAATATGTTTGTCGGAAAAGTTGTAATCCCTCCTTCCCTTCCAAGAAATGAAAATGTTGAGTTTGGATAGCCCCTTTAAATTTTTCCCCTTGTCAAAGATTGTTCAGATAAATCGTCAATTATTTTCTTTTTGTCCCCCCCCCCTCCCCATTTTTTTTCAAAAGCGATACTACTGCCTGTAATAGCTGAGAAAATAATATAACATTCCACTGTTTATTCTGTGACATTAATGAAGCCAAAGAGATGACATTTCAGGCTTTCTCGATAGCCAAACTTGTTGAATTGATTAAGACCGTTTTCCAGGTTCATCATGGAAAAGGAGCAAATGATTCACTATTAAAAATTGCTCTCAATGACTTAAGATTCATTCACAATATCCACTAAATATTCCAGAGAAAAAGAGGCATTTATGACAAGCCCTTTTACTATTTATTCGTAACATAAAATTTCACTTAAAATCACAGAGATATCTCTTATTTTAGAGAGATATCTCTTATATAACAGAGATATCTCTCAAATTAAAGAGATATCTCTCAACTTAAAGAGATATCTCTCTAAGAAAGAGATATCTCTTTCACTTAGAGTGATATCTCTTACACTAAGAGAGATATCTCTTTCATTCAGAGAGATATCTCTTTTACTTTGAGAGATATCTCTTACACTTAAAGAGATATCTCTTTTCCTTTTACAGATATCTCTTTCCTTAAGAGATATATCTCCTAGCGTTAAAGAGATATTTCTTTCCTTAAGAGAGATATCTCTTTCACCTAGAGAGATATCTCTTTTACTCTAAGAGATATCTTTCCGAGTTAAAGAGATATCTCTCAAAGTAAAAGAGATATCTCTCAAGCAAAAAGAGATATCTCTTCACTGTAAAGAGATATCTCTCTCCATTATTTTTATTTAAAAAGCATTTTTAATGACTTCTCCCTTTAGGGGAAGTAAGCTTTATATTCACGGAAATGCATTTAATCAAAACGAAAGTA